TGCCATATAATTTTAGCGTACATAAGAATATCCTAACCCAAGCTGGTTTGGCTCAGTGGATAGAGCATCAGCCTGCAGACTGAAGGGTCCTAGGTTCGATTCCAGTCAAGGGCATATGCCCGGGTTGTGGGCTCAATCCCCAGTGTGGGGCATGCAGGAGGCAGCCAATGATTCTCTCTCATCATTGATGTTTCTATCTCTCTCTCTCTCCCTCTCTTTTCCTCTCTGAAATCAATTAATACACACACACACACACACACACACACACACACACACACATATATATTTAAATAATATCCTAGGAGGGTGGTTTAAAATGGAGATTCTTGACCCCATTCTTGTCTGATTAAGTCTGTCAAGGACAACACTGAGAGAAGCATTGACAAACTGTATCCTGGGCACAGGTGGGACAATCCCCAGTCTTCAGGCAAGGTCTCTAGGGCTCCCAGGACCTTCTTACACAGGCCATCAGTGTAACCATCCTTCTAAAGGTTTGAACCAGGTGAGGCTTGTTGTATGCTCTGCATTCCCTAACCAGAACCTCTGAAATTTCTTCTCCCACCTGTGCTACCTAAAACAAGCAACATCTAATACTAAGAAAGATGCATCCCCCAACTTCCTATCTACGTGTCATGTGTTACATCAGACTAAGCCACAGTTAATCTTATCATGTCACTTAACCAGCTAAGAACCTGTGAAATTTCAGTTTTCAAACAAATAAAATCTCAGTTTTTACATCCTTCTGCACTTTCCAGGGCAAGATGAAAGAGAAAAGATTTATTTATTTTTTGTTCATTTTGTTTGAATGTGAGTTGTATATGTACTAAAATCCACCCTTTTTAGATGTATAGCTCTATGAGTTTTGACAAACTAAGACACTTGCAGAACTACCACCACAAACAAGATTTGGAATATTTCTATCACCCAAAAAAAGGCCCTTGTGCTGCTCTGTAGTCAATCGCATACCTGTTGTCACTATACTTTTGCCCTTTCCTGACTATCATACAGATGGCATCATACAGTAGATATTTCTTTGTATCTTACTTTTTTCACTTACTACAATGCATCTGAAATGAATCTATGTCCTTCATGTATCAGTAGCTTGTTTCTTTTTATTAAAGTAGTATTCAATCATGTAATAACTGTCTATGGTGTTGGATGATACTAAAAATATAGGGGTGGCACTTTATAAAGTATATAATGTCTCACCACTATGCTCAACACCTAAAACTAATACAACATACTATTGAATGTAAACTGCAATTGAAAAAAAAGTGGTCAGGTGTGGGGCGTGGTTACGGTGTTTTGGCCAGGTTCAAGCATTGGACTAATGAAAGGACAGGGTCCTCTCATTGCCACGTGCAAGTCCCAGCTGGAGGGCAGGGCCCTCCCAGCACAATTATAGCCAACAGCTGTGGTTGTAAGCTTGAACTTATGGACCGAACACATAGCCCCACGTGCCTTGTGATAGAGTTCGGGTGCATGTAGTTGAGTGAGGTTGAAACTCACGAGAATGCTGTAAACAACGTGATCACACCCCTACTTTGCCTCGTGGCATCTGCTATAAAATAAAGACATGGCTTGTGAGCGCTGTTTCCTCATCAGGAAGCAGCATCCAACCGAGACCCAGCTTTCATTCTCTTGTCTGTCTTTTCCCAATCCTTTCACCCCTCCCCCCCTCAGGGTCACCGAACCAGGCTGAGCTGGCATGGCACATAAGGTGCCCTGGGGCTGAGTATGCCATGGTTGTGCCGGCTCCCCACAGTCAGGAAAGGCTTCGTTGAGCTTTGAAGAAATTGAAGGAACAAGCTTTGTGAGTATCTATCTGGGGTTATGGGCTATGGACAGAACTGTGTCTCCTTTACTTTCGAATTCATATGAAGTCCTTACCTGCCCCACATCCCACCCCCCACACACACTTCAGAATGTAACTGTTAGGTTAGGTGGCTCAGGAGGCGGTGAAGGAAATAAAGAGAGTTGATCAGAAAAGGAAGGAAGGAAGGAAAGTTTATTCTGCGTCCCCGGGAGACCCAGGTACCCCCAAGGACAGGGCATGTGGATTCACGCCAACAGGGAGGGGGGGCGCTTTTTTTATACTGCGGTTGGGTGAGGGGCGGGGACATGAGCTGAGGTATTCAGCTGAGGAAGTTTCAGCTGCAGGGGGTCAGCAAGGTATTCAGGAATGAGTCAGTATCTGTGTGGGGGTCATGGAGAAGCCAGTATCTGTGTCTGGCATGCTGATAGTAGAAATGCCAGGGGGAGTCCATTATCTCGTCACATGTCTGCATGTATCCAATCCTGGGCTCTCTCCGACCTAACAGTAACCATATTGGAAATAAGGCCTTACAAAGATGATTAAATTAAAATAAAACCTAGAAAGTGGTGTGACCTCATTTATGGGAAGCAAGACAAGACTGAATTGCTGGGTTAAAAATAGTTGAATAATTGCCCTGGTGCACGAATCCATGCACATTGAAAGGAAACTAATTAGAAGAAATACTTTAATATCGCTATTTGTCCTTTCTCTGTCATAGAAGTGTCAACCAAATTCACGATTGACAATGACATCAAAACACACGCGTGTGATTGGCGCCAGTGAGAGCTTTATATGTATTGAGCATGTGCGAGTCAACTTAGCCTTTTATATATATATATAATAAACTTGCTTAAATAGACCTGCTTTCTGATTTAGCTAAACTTTTTCCAGCCCAGTGAAGCACCCCAACTTCTCTTTCAGGTAATTGTCAGCAACACAGCAGTAAATATCAACACGAAACAGATTATTATTGTAGATCACGGAGAGAGAACAAAGGGTAAAATACTTTACTGCAGCAGTGTTTGACTATATTCTGGGCAGTGAGAAAACCTGAAGTCATTTTCAAGGTCCACCATTTCTTCTTTTCAGTCAGGTCAAGTTTCTAAGCTTTCTAAATTTCCATTTTCTGGCTAATGAAAACAAAATAGGATTCCACGGAGTCTCCTATCTACCTACTCCAGGACTTCTGTGAGGGTCAAATGAGATGAGGCATGGGAAAATGCTTTACAGACATTTGGTCAAAGTGAAATGTTTGCACCTGACTATAAAGCAAGTTGTGTTCCTGGGCTGAAGAAACTCCAAGGAGGCTAGTCGCTAGGGAGAGAAAGCCGGGCATTGCTATATGACGTCATTACCCAGCTCGCACAGCAACTGTTTCCAGACTGTGCTGGGCTGTGCTGTGGCCCCATATTGTGCCATGGCAGCATTGGCTGAGATTTGGTGGGGTGTCACTCTGGGGTGGTGGCGGGGCTTGTGTCCCACTTGGGGGAAGCTGAGCGTTGCTTTGTTGGCATCAGGTCTGCACTGAAGTTTCTGTGTAAATGACCAGTGTGTGTCTTGGCAGCTCCTGCATTGAGCATCTGCCCCCTGGTGGTCAGTGCACGTCATAGCGACAGGTCCATTGGGCGGAGGTACACTTAGCATATTAGCCTTTTATATATATAAACTAGAGGCCCTGTGCAGGAAATGCATGCATGGGTAGGGTCCCTAGGCCTGGCCAGCAATCAGGGCTGATCGGGGCCTTCTGGCTGTCGGCCGGGGCCTTCCTTCATTCTGTGCCACCCCCTGGTGGTCAGCACACATCATAGTGAGTGATTGAACTCCCAGTCGAACTCCCGACGGATACTTTACATATTATATATATAGAATATATATATCTATAGCTATAGATATAGATATATAGATATCTATATCTATAGATATAAATATGTAGATATATAAATAGATAGATAAGATGAAGACTGAGAATTGTTGTTTGAATGAGCAATGGAGGCCTCAGCAAGAGCAATCTGGTGGATTCTGGGCATGAAAGCCTGACTCGTGTGTTGAGAAAAACTGAAGGCAAGTTGTTTAGAACAACTTGTAAGTTTTGCTGTACTTGTAGGAGCAAGAAAATGTGGAGGAAGATGGAGGGGGAAGTGGGCTTTTTTTGGTTTTGCTTTTGGATGTTAAAAAATTACAGCATGTTTATGCCAGTATCTTTAAAAAATCTTCAGTTTTCTTTTTTTATTGATTAAGGTATACATATGTGTCCTTATCCCCCTATTGCCCCCTTCACAGAGTTTTGATGGGACAATAGCTTCCCAGGTACTCTCCTCATCTTTGATGCCATTCTTTTGAATACACTGCTGACTAAACCACAACTCTCATCCTTTCACGCCTCTGCTCAAAAATCTTCAGGGTGTCCTTAACTGCTGCATGAGGTTCCAATTCCTTAGCTGAACAGTCAAATCTTCTCCAGTTTTGACTTTTGCAGTTTTCTCTCTTTCTTCTCCAAAGTCCGATGCCACAGCAGGGTCAGAAGGCTCAGGTTAAAGTCGCGATTCTGCTCTGTGACGTTGGACGAATTCCGAAGGGGAAGGGGCGTGTGGAGTAGACAGGATCACCTATTAGATCGCAGGCATCTCTAAGAAGCCTTACCTCGCAGCATCCTAGGGACTGCACGCGATATGGTGTTCTAAAACCGCTTCATCCCTTTCACTTCTAACCACACGGCTCGTGCAGTCACTTATGTTTCCCGCCTCGCTTTTGCCTTTCCAAACACACCAGGCTTTAGAAGAGCCACTGTGGCAGCTCCTTTAACGGCTTCCGCGTCCGATTCACCCGGAACTCGCTCCCAACTCCCGTCACTAGGGACCGACCTCTCCACAGTCAGAATTGGCCACGTAGTAAGTGCTGCTTCCAGCCAATCAGGAAGAAGTTATCTCAGAGCTTTGAGGGGCATCCGCTTCCACCAATGAACTTCAAGTCTTCTCTGGCTAACCGCTTCCGGAACAGGGCCGGGCCTCGGAGGGGACAGTACGATTTGATTGGCAGGCGTGATGTTGACAACCGGGGAAAGCCCACCTTCTGCAACAGGACCAGCTTGGATTCCCGGAGTGGCAGTGACCGCAGCCAATAGGAGAGTAGACGCGCGGAAAGTTTGCTCAATGGGTGATGTCGGAGGGAGACTGTCACTCAAGGAGCGGTGGCTGAGAGCGAGGTGAGACGTGGCGGGAGGACCGGGCTGGCGGTCAGGCCGTTGGGACCCGCAGCTCATCCGCGGCTGCTCGGTGGCTCAGGCCGGCAGGAAAGCGGGCGCCGGCGACTTCACCTCCATGCACGCGCGCAGGGCCGGCCGCTGATGGAACGCGCTGCCCACTCGGGGCGGCTCGCGCGGGCGGCGGCGCCGCTGCTGCTGCTGCTGCTGCTGCTGGGGCTTGCGTGCTGACGGAAGCTGCGGGGCGCGCCGGCGACCTACCCGCCCCGGGCGGCGGAGGGCGGCGTCTGGAGGCCCCCGCGACTAATCCTTACCTGGGCCCTGCGGGTGCGGGCGGCGGGGGCCTTGACGTTTGAGTGAACGTGGAGAAAGGATTAGAGGAGACCACGGGGCAAACAGAAACCG